TCCATTATTATTTCATTATTATTATTATTTAAAAGCTCTATATAGTTCATAAACCTGCTGTTTATTTGGAAATTATTATTTTTATAGAATAGTTATTAAATAAGCCAGGTCACATATCACATCTTCATGCTACAAGACATTTATGAAATCTATTATTATTATTGCAAATAAGCGTTTTTTGTTTTTGTTTTTTTTCTGAAAGTCGGCACCAGCTGATCCAGTTGAAACAATATATTCTGACTGTTTTTCAGATCTTTATTCAGGTCCTCTCATGGTGATCCCTGATGATCCTGTGAAAAAGGGAACTTTCGTTAGTCTTAGCTGCAACTTGAGAATAAAAAAAAACTTCCCCAGTGTGGCTTTTTACCACAATAACAAACTTATCCAAAATGACTCCCGAGAGGAGCTGAACTTCTTGGCAGTGTCAAAGTCTGATGAAGGTTCCTACAAGTGTCAGTACTCAGGAAAAGAGTCGCCATCACGTTACATGTCGGTTAAGTGTGAGTAGCATTGCAACGTTATTTAAACATGACTTTTTTAAAAACCATCTTAATGTTTGAGAAGGAACTCAGTCCTCATGTATTGTGTTAGCAAATATGTATAGCAGATAGAAATGTGTGCCTGTTTAAGTGAAGTAAACTTACTCTGTTTTATAGTTTATTAAATTATATTTTGTAAAAATGTCTCATATAACATCTTTCAATTCTGTTTGTTATCACACTAGCTGCTGTCGGACCTGAAAGCTCTTCATTTCCTGTCAGAATGAAAGTCATGAATGCAGTCGCCTTCATCCTGGTCAGTACTGAAACCAGTTATTATTACCATTTTAATCTGAACTGAAATGGAGTTAAAAGTCAAAAGTAAAAGTACAGAGAATGTCAGGAGCCCTTATGAATCTAAATAAAGCATTTGAGAGGGTGCCAAGAGAAGAACTGCGGCACTGCATTTTTTTGCATGAGGAGGTCAAGACTGATAGAGTGGTATGTGAGAGTGGTGGAGGACTTGTATGAAGACAATGAGCGAGGTGAGCAGTAGTAACAAATGGGTTTAACAATGAGATGGAACTACATCAGGGATCAGTTCTATTGTTTGAAGTGGTGATGGACAGGCTGACTGATGAGGATAGGCTGGACTCTCTGTAAACTATGTGTGGAGTGAATAAGGCACCACGACACCACTGATTGTAATTATGAGCCATTTATTTGCATTGGCTGACAATCCCAAACTGCCAGCCGCACATCACACCACAACACACAACAACCCCTTGTGTAGGTCGGTGGGCGTAATTGCCGCGCAGGTGCGTGGGCCCTCCCTGCACGGCACCCCAGACCACGCCCTACCATATACCCCCTTCGCCCGATTGGGCTGGAGAGCCATCTGGCTGAACCTACTCCCCCCGTGACACCGTGATCTGCAGTGAGAGTTGGGAGCAGTTGGAATAGAGGAGAGGTAGAGGT